AAAAAATTATATCATTGTGCCTAAATTACACCGCGTGTTATTTGATTTCAAATAATCGTCGGACGCAGTCGCAAAATAAAATTACGAGGTTCGTGCGAAAAAAATGCGTCTTCTTACTCGTACAAAAAAAAGCCTCAGCCATTGACCTGTCATCAGACACGCGAACGAGCTGAAACGATGAACACATAATAATATGACATATATAATTAACGCGAGGAAGAGCTGTCGCTAATAATAAAACAGCTCGGCCAGATGCAAAAGCATCTGCTGCTATAATCTCGGCGTGCTTAACGGTTATTAATAAAAAGCGCACGTTATCTCTCGGCCAGTAACCAGTAACATACGTTCAGTGCTTATCAACACACTATGTGCTACTATGTGCGTACGTGTGAAAGTACACACGTACGCACGCTGTGCCTACAAAGAGACTTTATGGATGAAATCTTGCGGTCTTTTCTCAATTATTTCAAAACAATACTCGAATGTGACGCAAGGGCAAGATTTGATAATATAGGTTGAAGATATTTCAGATATTAATCTTTACTCGCACAAATGCACAGAAACTAAATGTTTTGTTTATATGCGTAACGCACATGCGTGAAACGTTAGACATCGAGCAGCTATCAAAGTACTTGCTGCTTCTTCTTCTTATTATTATTATTGTATTAGCGCAATTGTATTCAGGTTCTCTCTTTTACTGTCCTTTCTATTATTTCTGCTATTTCTTGTTATTTACTCAGATTAAGAGGATGTTTCTTCTATATCCTATTTCCCTCGTTCTATTTAAAAACTGTACAAGTGTTGGGCCAAGATAAAGATGCTGAGTATAGTAAATCACGTTAAATCCTCTCTAAAACCAATGTGGTTGTTAAATAACCTGTGGTCGAAAGAGAGTAGCGATTTTAGGACATCCCGTATATATAGAATGCGCGGGCTTGCAGTTGCTGCCGTAGATAAATATTATTGCAAGTCCCGAGCGCTCCGAACCACTTGATAGTATAAATACATCGCGTCAAAGGTGGAGGCAGAGGGAAAACGCGCACGCATTGAATTGTCGAATACGCAAAGTGAAACGGAGTGCCTATTCGCTGCGCGTTTCCCTCGCGGTGCTTACATTACTCGTCCAAATTTTGCAGGGAAAAACACACGCGAGACCTTAAAACGCTCTTCTCGGAAAAACGATAAAACAGATGATTTGCATCCCGTCATTTCGTCACTTCCAATCGCTCTACAACTGATTGTGCGTGCAACGTTTGTCATTCTGCGCGTGCACGAAAAGTGCAAAGCACTGGAAGAGAGCAACGTAAGAGGAAAAGTGAAGTAAAGTGGACGATATAAAGACTGTGTTTGACAAACAGTATAACCCAAACTTCGGAGAAGAAATGGATAAATGTTAGAAACGGTCCGTCCCTTTTCCTTGTACCATCCGTTTGTATTGTTGTATATATACGAGGTGCATTATAAATTATCCAAATAAATTTCTACTTTCTAAAAAGAAAAAAAGAAAATACAAATCAATTATTTCGCGAGGTCCTTCTCTACAATATAAGTATTCAAAATATAAAAAAATAATAATAAAAGATATTCTAAACGTACAGTTAATCATTTACAGAGCTTACATTTTAACACGATGGATTTAATCTTCAAGTATGTCGTATATGGATAGTTGAAATTTTGAGTTAGATGTACTTTGCATTAGGTGGAAATCGCCTTTAGTTGCTGAGATATTTGTAAATCATTTCGAACTACTGTAACAAGATCCACACACGCCGCCCTTTATGTACTTCGTATATAAAACAAAGTTTAAAAACCTGACTCAGTTAATCAGCATTTTATGTTTTCCATGTACCTATATGTCACAGCAAATACATTATTCAAAATGTATAAAGGAAATAATGAAAAATAATCTAAACGTACAGTTAATCATTTATCATAGAGCTTACATTTTTAACAATGGCATTAAGCCTGTTCGTTTTAGCTGAACTTCTTGCATGGTCTACCTTTTCTCCTTTTCTCTCCAATATGAATAGAAAGAGAGGAAAGATAAACCGTGCAAGAAGTTCAGTTAAAACAAACAGGCCTTTTGATTTTCAAGTATATCGTACGGATATTTTGAAATTTTGAACTAGATACACTTTGCATTAGGTGGAAATCGCCTTTAGTTGCCGAGATACTTATAAATCATTTCGAAGTACTGTAGCA